CTGGAGAAGCATGGAGGCAGGAGAAGGGCTGAACGACCTGTCTAGAAGCCGGAGCTGGGAGTCAGAGCTAGGACCTCCAGAAGCCGATAGATGGCGCTCGTGGCCCAACACAGCCCCAGTAGCCTGAGAAACTGAAGGGAAACCGTGAGCATGTTAACCCCTTCCCCACTGGGCTCAGGGCTGAAAAGCAGACTAGGGAGCCGCCGGGGCCCTTTCCAGCCCAGGTGATCCAACTCTGCAGCTTCTTTCCCAGGTCACAGCCTAAGCCTGTTTCTGCTTCTGCCCTGAAGGTCCTATGCTTCCCAGAGGGCCAGGAGATTAAGAAATGGATAAGGTTGGGTGGAGGGCCCGCCTAAGCCCATGTTTCATCTTTTGGGCTCTCTCTGTTGAAAGTTTCTGGGTCTCTGCTTCTAAGCACCTTCACTTTAGGAGGCTTCCTCACCCCGACCTTCCCAGAGAGACCCACCAGGTGGTGAGAAGTATCAGGGGTTAGAGATAGAAAGGGCCCCCAGATCCCTTTGGGGTCAACTGTGGTAACTCCCTGTGGACTGCTTAAGCCTTGTCTTTTTCTGGGGAGGCCCTGGGGATTGAATTCGGGGGCACTCAACCATTGAGACAAATCTCCAGCCCTATTTTGTATTTTATTTAGAGACAGGGTCTCACTGAGTTGCTTAGCGCATCACTGTTGCTGAGGCTGGCTTTGAACTCTCAAGTCTCCTGTCTCAGCCTCCTGAGCCACTGGGATTATAGGTGTGTGCCACCGCGCCAGGTGTCTCAGCCTCTCTTTATATCTGGACTCCCTATCTCTGAGTTTCCTGGGGTGGATAGGCTTTAGGGATAGAAAGAGTTATCTAATTCTTCTAGGAAGTTGAAATCAGGGGAAGGGGCTCTTGGGAGTTATCTCCTTTCTTGTTACTCATTTTACTCATTATTGCCTGCCAGAGGCAGATTTGGAATGGGTAGGGGATGCCAGGATGATAAAGTGTGGAGTGTGAAGTGTGAGGCAAGCGAGTGGTAGAGGGTAGGGTGGGAAGGAGGGTGTCTAAGGGATAGTGGAGATCCTAGAATACTTTTTTAATATGTATTTTTAGATGTTGATGGGCTTATTTTATTCATTTATTTTATGTGGTGCTGAGAATTGAACCCAGTGCCTCACACACGCTAGGCAAGTGCCTTAACACTGAGCCACAACCCTAGGCCCATCCTAGAATTCTTAAACAGTGAGATGACACCACAATGAAGTCCCTCCTCCCCTTATTTTTGTTCTGAAACACACAAATGCATAGATATGAGGAGACAGCAGAGCCTGTTCTAGGAGCTTCCTCTTACTTCAGGTATTCCAAAGAAAGAAGCAAAGATAGGGAGATATACACAGAAGGTGACAGAGGCATAGATACAAAGAGGAAGTTGAATAAGAAACTAGAGATAGTGATAAATTTACGTAGGCAGAGAGATGCAAAGACCCAGAGTGGGGAAGAATCTGGTACACATTAAGGCTCAGGAAATAATGGATTTCATGAGGTGGATGATTAATTCAGTTTCCAAAGTCTTGCAGGGGTAGGGATGGTTTCTCACCTCAATGTCAGAGGGTCACTGCTTATAGCTCCCTGAAGCTCCTGCTGTACCCATTAAGTTTTCGTCTGTTGATGGGCTTGAAAAAGGGGTAGCATCCTTGTTCACTCATTTCTTCCTGTTCTTGGGTTCACTGGTCTCCTGCCCTCTGCCCACAGGGAGACATTACTTTGGTGTTCAGAGTCCTGGTTATGCTCAGACATGTGTGCAGGGGTGGGGGTGGGAGGAATTCAGAAGATAATTAGCCTTAGGGGGTTTCTAGATTAATGAAAGTCTTATAATCAGGACACAGAAGCAAATCTGGATAGAGGACAAGAACAAAACTATGAATTGAACAGATTCGGACATTGGTACACTGTACATTGGTACAACCACATGAGGAGGTGGGGGAATGGATTATTAAGTGCAGCTATGAGATTAGGATTGATTAGGGAAGGCTTCTGGGCAGAGTATTCAAGAGGGAAGATTTGGAAAAGGGAGATTTGATGGTTAAACTTGTATGTCCACTTTCATGGACAGGGATACCCAGACAGTTTGTAAAACATTATTTCTGTGTATGTCTGTGAGGGTATTTCTGAAAGAGGTCTGCTTTTGAATTGGTAGATTGTCAAAAGATCATCTTCATCAATGTAGCTGGGCATCATCCAATCTCTTGAGGGCCCAGTGGAACAAAGGTGGAGGAAGGGCAAATTTTCTCTCTTTATGAGATGGAACCTCCATCTTCTCCTGTCATTGGAGACCTGTCTGAAGGCCTTGGCTCTCGGGCCTTCAGGTTCTGGGATTTACATCAGCAAGCTTCCCTGCAACTCCCCCATTCAGACTTGGACAGAATGACACCACCAGCTTTCCTGATTCTCCAGCTTATAGAAAGTTCATCAGCAGATGGTGGAACTTCCTGGCCTCTGCAGTCCTGGTACCCAATTCCAATAGTAAATCTACTCATATAGATAAAAAGATAGATAGCCTATTGGTTCTGTTTTTCTGGGGGAACCCTGACTAACATAGAAGATTATAGGGCTAGGCAGATAGCATAGAAGAAGAAGGAGAAAAGTCAAAATGGTAAATCTATAAGAAGGGCTTGTACAGTAATGGGGGACGCTTGTTGCCAAAGAGTTGTGAGGAGATGCCAGAAATGTTTTGGTACGTTTTCTATATACAGTAATGGCTCCTGGAGGGCTGAAAAGGAGAGCTCATACCTGGAGCAGCAGGGGGACTGGAAAAGGTCTTTAGCCACTGTCAATACCCTCAGATGGGTGAAGGATTGGGAACAGTTGGAGCTTCCTGTAGTTGTGAGTGAATTTTAGAGTTAGGACCTTACAGAGCCCGGCCCCTCACTTTTCAAGACTTCTTGATTCAGCCCTGATGATAGGAATAAACTACAATTCCCAGCGGCGCTTAGAATTATTTTAGCGCGCCTTCCGGGGATTTGTGTATTTCCGGCGGAAGTGGCTCAGGCTACGCCAATCGCCTCCCCTATATAGTTTAGACTACGACTCCCACTGTCCTTTTCGCCGGGCGTGGGGGGACAGGAACCGGAAACGGATGGGGAGCTGGTCCAGGTGAGGGAGCGGGAGGCCGGGAATCTGGGGCGCAGGGGCAGGCTGGGGGCTCTCAGGGCCCTCGGGGCGGAGCCGAGCGGGTGGTCCGAGTGTCTGTTCTTCGGGGACTTCGCTCCGTCTGAAGCCTGCTCCGGCGCAGGGGCAGCCGAGCCGGGGGAACCGCTTGGGAGGCCTGCGGGATCAAGGCTTTCCCGTCGGGCGGAGCCCGCGGGCGCAGGCAGAGGTTTTGTCTGGTGCTGCTGTCGTCGGCCTCCTCGGAACCAGAAAGAGGGGTGAAATAGCCTTTTTGAGTCCATGCTCTAATTTTTTGGTTTAAGGGTTTGCTTATTTTCCCTATGGATTCCTGCAGTGCTTGCAAGGGGCAGGGTGGTGGCTAGTGTCTTGGACTTCTAATAAACTTCCTCGACTTGATTCCAATCTGAAGTCTAGCGTTGGTGGCCACACTCATCTCAGAGTCACACTCCGCTGCCTTTGCACTTAATGTAATTTGACATGGACTAAAAAAAGGCTATTTCACCTCTCTTTCTGGTTCTGAGGAGGCCAACAACACCACCAGACAAAACCTCCGCCTGCGCCCACGAGAAAGCCTTGATCCCGCAGGCCTATTTTATAAAGCATCTACATTTCTTACGCCTTTGGTTCTTGGAGACTTTAGGTAGAATTATCAAATCCTTCCTTTGGGCTCCTGTAATGTTCTGTTCAGGATGTTAAAGCTCAAGTTATACTGGCTTACTGTTAGTTGTTTCTCTGTCCTCTCACAGTAGTTTATATCTTACTGAAAGCCTGAATTTCATTTGAATTTCTTCCCCACCAAGAGAGCCATAGTGCCTGTCACATAAAAGATTCAAATATAGGGAAAAAATTAACAGCTGGTAATAGATTGATGGCATATGTGATTTTCATAGAGGAGAGTTAAATGCCTTGCTCAAGAGCACATTCTTAAAAATGAAACCAGGACTAGAAGTCAAGACAGTTGACTTCTACCCTGTCTTCCTATCAGATCAGGCATTGAAACTCTGGAACACTGAAAATAAGGGCTTGTCACTTTTGCATACCCCCATTCTTGCTGTTTTCAGCTCAGATCTCTAAATGCAAAGGTCTCTAGATCCAGCTTAGACTTCAGAGACATCCTAGAATTAGAGCAGTTATCCCTTAATGTTGCAAAGCATGGTAACCTGAATCATTTGCACTTATCACACCTTTTCACCTTTCATATGAGCCACATGGACTGATCAGTTAAAGACTTCTGTGATCAGTCTTGAAAACTTCTTAAGTTGGGCCTCTGAATTTTTTTCTTCTTTTTCCACTTTTCCTAGGCTAGGATCAGAACACAATAACTTGATCTGTCAACCTATTGTGTCAATCTTGAAACAACAACCTCATCTGGGGAAGAGGTTGTACTTGTCTGGAGATTGAAAAGGAGTAGTCCCTGCCCTGTGGGAGGCCCACATGTGATGGAAACACACCCAGAGCCTGGAAAACTGTGAGAAGCAAGCAGAGTGCCAAGTAAGCAGCTGAGCTTTGAATGAACTGATGATAAAGAAGCATAGAAGAGTTGGTTAGCACAGGTCCCCCGGCAATGGGCTTGCCTAGCATGTGCAAGGCCCTGGTTTCAGTTCCTAAACACCACAAAAACGAAAGTAAAACACACATACACACATACACACACATACATATACCCTTTTTTTTTTTTTTGTACTGGGGATTGATCTCAGGGGCACTTGATCACTGAGCCACATCCCCAGCCCTATTTTGTATTTTTTTTAGAGACAGGGTCTCATTGAGTTGCTTAGTGCCTTGCCATTGCTGAGGCTGGCTTTGAGCTTATGATCCTCCTGCCTCAGCCTCCTGAGCCACTGGGATTACAGACATGCGTCACTGCACCCAACCATGTACATTTTTTAAAAAGGCTACAGATGTCGTTCAGTACTTGAGTGCTTGCTAACATGCTTAAGGCCTGGGTTTGATCCCTAGCATATGTGTGTGTGTGTGTGTGTGTGTGTACATACACTCATAAAATAATGGTTCTTTGGTAGAAGGTATTTTTTATTCTTTTTAGTTGTACATGACAGTAGAATGTATTTTGACATGTTATACATACATGGAGTACAACTGATAGAAGGTATTTTTAAACAAGATTGGTAAAGTAAGGATGGCCAGCACTGAACAGGTGTTTGTTGAGTACTTTATAAGGACCAGGACCTTGAATTATGGAGGGAAATTGATCAGGGCCTGGCTTATTACCTACCGAAGTCTAATTGGGGAGGCAAGGTGTGAATTTGTGAAGACTCCACTAAGCATGGTGACATGCCTTCACTAACCATCAGAATCACCTTGTTTAAAATGCAGATACTAAGGCCTTACAGCCTCCCTTCTTGTGTGTGGGGTTGGGAATCTATCAAAGGGTGGTTTGAGCTTCATTTTGGAGGCTGGGTATCATTTGGATGAGTGGAGGGGTGGGAAAGTCATAATCCAAGTTGACTGGATGGCTGTTGAATGATGTCTGGTTAACTTAAGGAATCTATTTGGTTGGGATTTTAGTAATGGCATGTGCATGATTTTGGTAGTTTTGGTAGGGAAGCCATTTTGAAATTGTAAGTGGAATGGTCAGTTTGGAACAGTGGGTTTGGATAGGAATGCTGGGAAAGAATGGCTTTGCAATTAACTCCCTTTTCTTCCCTCTTTCTCCCATTCCTCTGCTCACCTATATATAACATCTCATTTCATCCTTATAACAGCACTATGAAGTGGGTATTATTATTCTTAGTATTTGGATGAAGAGACTTGAGGCCCTGACCACGGTTGCATTGCTTGCAAGGCTGTTCTGAGTCTGGTAATCATCCTACTCACCACTGAGGAATCTTGAATGTGTGAAAGAAATTGGGCTTGGGCTAAGGGCTTGTAGAATTAGTGGGGTGGCTGATAAAACCATCTAAGGCAAGATGGGAGTGGGTGGTTGAGAGCATAGTGTGGGTTCAAATCCCAGCTTCATTACTTTCTAACTGTGTGACCCTGGGCAATTGCTTGATCTTGCTAAGCCTCAGTCTCCTCGCTTGTAACATGGGAGCAATAATACCCACCTCATGGGGTTGTTATGAAGATCAATGAAGTGTACCTGGCTTAGAGCAATTACTCACCACCTGGAAGCTATTGTAATTAGCCTTCGCAGATCTCTGGGCTGTGGCTGTGCACCTGCATCTCATTCATCAGCACAGTGGTTTCCAGGACACAGCCATCCTGACTGGACTTGTTTTAAGGATGACATTGTGCAGAGAGGATGCCACCAGTAAATGTGTATTGAAACCTACTGTATGCTCAGCATGGCCTAGGAACTAGTGACTCAGACTCATGCCTAATGGAAGGAGGTTTGGAGTGGGGGATGGTTGGTGGTTTTGGCTCATTTTCTCTGGGTGATGAATAAAGAGGAAGGAAGTTAAAAGTGGGGAGGAGAAGATCCTTCATTATCAAGAACTGAGGTGAGCTTGGGCCTACTGGACAATTGATGGATTACTAACATGATTTCCTAGGTCTCTTCTGAGCCCAGGAAAATGGTAGTAGGGGCCCTACCCAGCATAGATTTCTTCCACTCTGGGCTGAGGGCTGATGAGACCTCTGTCCTCCTCTATTCCAGGTGACAGCAGCATGGCTGTACCCCAGGCTTTCCCACTGGGGCCCCTCCACGAGCCTGTAGGTGCCCTGATGGAGCCCCAGCTATGTCCTCAAAGCTTGGCTGAGGGCTTCCTGCAGGAGGAGCTTCGGCTTAATGCTGAGCTAAGGCAACTGCAGTTTTCAGAGCCTGTGGGCATCATCTACAATCCAGTGGATTACGCATGGGAGCCACATCGCACCTACGTGACTCGTTACTGCCAGGGCCCCAAGGAAGTGCTCTTCCTCGGCATGAACCCGGGACCTTTTGGCATGGCTCAGACTGGGGTAAAGGGCATGGTTTCCCCTGGTGGGTGGAGTGGGAGGCACCAAGGTGGATGCTTGGCTGGGTGTGCTATGGAGGAGGAGCATGTACAGGGCTGTGGACGTGATTGGATCCTCCCCATACACACACTGGCTCCTGTAGTCTCAGACACTCTCTTGGCCTCTCTGCCCGTAGTTAACCAAACACATTAATGGTAGTTCCGTTTCCCCTGTGAGTTGTCCACTAATTGCATCTGAGAGCTCTTCCTTCCGCCATCCCCCATCTTTACCTTCCCTTCCCGGATCTCCCCTGTCCCTAGAGTGGTTGGGGTCAGGAGGGGGACTGCTGGGTCCTCAGGGAGGACTGATTGGCAGGGTGGGTATGTAAGAGAAGCAGGCATTTGGGCAGCCTGGTTCTGTTTCTCAGCTGAGGAGAGATTCAGAATAGCTAGGCTCCAGGGCCCATCTGCTTTCCTTTCAGGGCTCAGGATGAGTGACTGCCTTTCAGAGGGGGTGCTTGGCAGGTGGGGGAGGGGAAGAGGCCTCAGGGCAGGAGGCTCAATCGCTTTTATTGACCCCAACTGGGTGGTGAAAGGTGATCAATGATGATCGATGGAAATGACAGCCTGAGGCTTGGGGCTGGAGAGAGCACCCAGAGAGCGGTGGTCATCCCTGTCCTTTGCCTCCTTTAACCTTGGCGGCCTTTCTTTCTCAGGTCACCTGTCTGTCCCTGTAGTAACCATCAAGCCCTCAATAGGCTCAGATGTCCCTTGTTGGGGAAGAGGCAAACAAATAGGTTTTCTGGATCACAGTCCACAATGAAAAAAATGGAGAAAGAAGGATAGGATCAAAGCGCAGAGCCAGGAGTCCTTGTCTCAGACCTTTGGATTAAGTTGTGTGTGGAGTACCCAGACTGGATCCTCCTGAAAGGTGGAAAGGGTTCGTTTGGTCCAGAGCCCAGGCATCAGATCTCTAGTTGAAGCCCTCATGTCTCTCTCCTTCCCTACAGGTGCCCTTTGGGGAAGTAAGCATGGTTCGAGACTGGTTGGGCATTGGGGGGTCTGTGTCATCTCCTCCCCAGGAGCATCCCAAGCGACCAGTGCTGGGACTGGAGTGCCCACAGACAGAGGTGAGCGGTGCCCGATTCTGGGGCTTTTTCCAGAACCTCTGTGGACAGCCTGAAGTCTTCTTCCGTCACTGCTTTGTCCACAATCTGTGTCCTCTGCTCTTCCTGGCTCCCAGTGGGCGCAACCTCACCCCTGCTGAGCTGCCTGCAAAGCAGAGAGAACAGCTTCTTGGGATTTGCGACGCAGCCCTCTGCCGGCAGGTGCAGCTGCTGGGGGTGCGGCTGGTAGTAGGAGTGGGGCGACTGGCAGAGCAGCGGGCACGACGGGCCCTGGCAGGTCTGATGCCAGAGGTCCAGGTGGAGGGGCTCCTGCATCCTTCTCCCCGGAGCCCACAGGCCAACAAGGGCTGGGAGGTGGTAGCCAAGGAAAGGCTCAATGAGTTGGGATTGCTGCCTCTGCTAACAAAATGAGTGTCCCCAGGGCCTGGCCTAGGACAGTCAAGGCCCCCAAGTCATTCTTGCACAGGCAGATGACTACACACCGCCCGGACTGGTGCAACAGGGCCTTCCTGGGCTTTCTGTTGCCAGGAAACATGTTCTTTGATCTGTTGAACTGTCCCCCAGCCTGCAGAGGCAGTCTCTAATTACCAGGGTGAGTAGTTACTCAACTCCTGTTCACCCTCCTGCTTCCTGTGTCTTTGACTGTCCTTTGAGCATTGCCCCTTTTGTCTTACAGTGTTGGCTCCACAGAATCAGCAGAAGGTGGGCTTCTTGCATACTGCTCTACCTCATTATTTCCTTGGGAGTCCCTATGCAGCTGAGTATCCTAGACAGGAACTTCAAAAGGTCAAATTTCCTATTTCAGAGAAAAGACTTTTAAAAAAGTCTTTAATTTTTTACTTTTTGTTGACATGTATTACTTGTACATATTAATGGGATGCAGTGTGATATGTATACATGCATACAGCATGAGTTGACATCCCTTTACCTCCACCACCTCTTTCCCAGCTAGAGGAAAAATCTTGCCAGGATCCTTATCCATCCTCATAGAATAGCTTCTGCCAGCTGATTCCTTTCTCATAGGGATCAGGACAAAATATGGAACATGATGTTCAGAGTGAATTCTAGCGGGGCCCAGTGGTACACACCTATAATCTCAGCAACTTGGGAGGCCAAGGCAGGAGGATCACAAGTTCAAGGCCAGCCTTGACAACTTAGCAAGACTCTGTCTCAAAAAATAGAAAGAGGTAGGGATGCAGCTCAGTAATAGAGTGCCACTGGGTTCAGTCCCTAGTAATACTCACACACACTCACACCCACACAAACACATAAATGAACATTTTATGGGAGACTGAGGCTAAATCAGAGGGAGAATTCAGTGTGGCAGTGTAGAAAAGTCAGAAAACCTGGATTTTTATCCTAGCTTTGAGACTCATAAACTTTATTCTTTTTATGTTATTTTTATATTCCTAGTATTCTTTTTGTGAGACTTGTGAACTCTGATGGAAAAATGGATTAACCTCTCTAAGTCTCAGGATCCTCATCTGTAAATGGAGATACCTCCCTCACGGGGTTGTTTGAGGATTAACTGAGAAAACACTTGAAAGTGCCTTGTGATGGCCTGGCACTCGGGTGCTCACTACATAGCTTTCTTGCTTTCTGTCTGGGTTGGGCAGTCATTGCACTACAGAGGAAACCCCTTTCCACTTTGAAAGCCTGGCTGGGGTCGGGAAGTCTTGCCTACCAGAAATGGATCATGACTTTATGAAAACCCAACCTGCCATTCTTCAATTTAAGCATTAAAAGTTCCTAAACTCTTGTGGTGGTACTTTTTTCCCCTCTGTATGTCAGGGGTGGGAGATCTGTTGTTGAGATTTTTTTTTCTGTACATACCTCTTCATTGTTTGCAAAAGATTTTCTTGGGTAGCTGGGGGAGGGATGTAACAGATTTCTAAATGCTTCAGCAAAGCTGCAGGGTGGGGGTAGTGGCTTGTCTAGTAGTTTTTCTGATACTTGGGGCACATGGGAAACAGGGATGGGGTGGCTTGGCATCTGACTCATTTCTTTTTGTCTGCTGAATGGCTGGTTGGGTGCCCCTTTTTTAAGAACTGGGAAAGTGAACCAAGTTGGAAGCAAAACATGCCTTGAGATCATCTTATTGAGGAACACATGGTTTACTCCTGATTTCTTGGGACACAGGTCATCTCCAGTTATTTCAAAATTAAGATCTTTAGAATAAATTATCCTCCCCTCTTAACATAGAAAGGAATTTGCCCTGCCTCTGTCCTCAGATCCTGAGAGGGAGATTTCTAAATCCTGGGAATTTCCCCAGTGATAGGTGTGTCTTTGTTATGGTGGGTCCTCCAAACCACACCTGAAATTAACAATGTTGAGATTTGACCATAGACCACACTTTGTGTTGAAATTTGATCTTGGACCACAGCTGAGTTTTATGCTAAGATTTGACTCAGGATGTAGGCTGACCATGCCAGAAAGACCAACTAACACTTGGAGGATTGGGACTTTCTTCTGGGTGATGTATCAGCCTGATCTCCAGGGAGGAGACGGTAACACAGACTGAGTGCAACCACATGGCCCTTTATTTCAATCAATTAGGCCTTTGTAAAGAAACCCTAATAAAAATGTTGAACACCAAGGTTTGTGTCATCTTCCTGGTTGGTAAAAACATGGATGTGTTGGGAAGGTGATATGTCCTGGTTCTATAGGCAAAGGACATGGATGTGTGTTTGGAATACGTCCAGATCTTGCTTATGTTTCTTTGTGTTTGGATGGTCCTGATTTGCATTCTTTTCTGCAGTGTTGGGGAGGGAACCCAGGGCCTTATGCATGCTAAGCACGTGCTTTACCACTGAGCCGTACCCCCAGCCTCTGATTTGTATTCTTTATAATAATAAAGAATGTACTTAAACAATTATACTGTGTTGTCCTGAGTTCTGTGTGTCTCTAGCCAATTATTGAACCTGAAGGGTTGTGGGAACCCTTGTATTTTTAGCCAGTTGGTTAGAAGTGTTGGTGGCCTGGGGACCCCCAAACTTGGGAATTGCATCTGAAGTGAAGATAGTTTTGTTGGGGACTGTGCCCTTAAACCTTTAGAGTATGTGTAGACCCCAGATAGCATCATAATTGCCTTACAGCATTGCACTGTCATATGCCTTAGTCCCCCTTCCTCTTTCTGCCTTGGTGCTATGGTACTAAGTTGTGGGTGCTCTGTGTTGTGAGTCACTGAATTAGGCATTGTGCAATCATTGCAGAGAAAGAAGCTGTTTTGTATTATATATTTAGCTGAGAAAATCAGAGAAAGCTCTCTGGAGGAGGTGGAATTTCAGGTGACCTTAGAGATGGGAAATTTGAGAGCTTAGTTAACAGCATCATTATGTTCAAAGGGTGGTAAGTAGATTAGTGTTGGCTTGGCCTACTTGGGAGAAAAAAACTGAAGAAGTAAGTTGGGGCCAGTTTATGAAGGGTTTTGAGTGCTAGAATAATCTAAGAATTTGCAGTCCAGTGGGGGAAGTCAGATGCACAGAACACCCCCACTGAAAACACCCAGCTATAGGTGGACACCCACAGATGAAGATGAAGGATGTGTTAGTCACCTTAAGAAAGGGGTCTTTTTGTTTATTCATGATGCGGGGGATTGAACCCAGGGCCTTACACATGCCAGGCAAACACTCTACCACTCTACCTACATCCCAGCACAAAAAAGGCTCAATTTCAGTCTGTGGTCACTTGGCCCTGTTGCTTTGGACCTATAGTGGCAATGGTACATCATGGCAAGAGTGTGGGGCAGAAGAGCCTTCCGGTAGCTGGGAAGCCAGGAGAGGAAGGGTGTAGGGCAGCAATATTTTCTTTAAGGACACACCTCCAGCGACCTAGCTTCCTCTCACTAGGCTCCACCTCTTATTAAAGTTTCTGCCACCTCCCAGTAATGCTATAGGTTAGTGACCACGTTTTCAATAGATGGGTCTTTGGGGACACTCAAGATCCAAACCATAGCAAAGAAGCAGGAGGCACAGTAGGTACAGTGGGGCAAGAAATGGAGAGAGAGAGCATTAGTGTGTAGGGAGGACATCCTAGGGGCACAGCAGATTCTGGGTTAAAGCCCAGACTCGGGGTAGAACCATGAGATGGTGGAGGCAGAGCTAGGTAGTGCGCAGAGGTACTTGGATGGTAGATACCAGGATGATGTCTTGAAGGTCGGGTGTGAAACAGTCACTGTCTGATCTGGCTTCAAGTGGGGCTGTGCCCTCAATTCCTGGGGTATAATAACTTGTCAGGGAGATGATGATTAGGGTCCTGGGTCTGCCATTTCCCAAGGGCACTGTATTAGAATAGTCTGCTAGGGCTGCCATAACAGGAATACCGCATAGAGCATGGCTTAAACAACAGACTTGTCAATTACGGAGACCAGAAGTCCCAAATCAAGGTGTTGGCAGGTTGGATTTCTACTGAGGCCTCTCGTGTTTATGTTTTGTTTTATTTTATTACTGGGGTGGGGGGGGGGGGTTGAACAGTGGTGCTCAACCACTGAACTACATCCCTAGCTTTTTTTTATTTTGAGGCAGGGTCTTGCTAAGTTGCCCAGGCTGGCCTTGAACTTGCGATCCTCCTGCTGAGGCCTTTCTCCTTCGATTGCAGAGGAGGCTGTCTTCACCTAGTCTTCACATGACTTTTCTTCAGGTGTATCTCCTTGGTGTCCCTCTCCCTTCTCAAAAGGACACTAGTTGTATTGGATAAGGGCCCCAGCCTATTGTCTCATTTAACCCTAAGTATCTCTATGGGGCTCTGTCTTCAAATACAAAGTCATTAGGGCTTAATATCTGAATTTTTGTGGGACACAATTAGTCTATAACAGATACTCAAAGTCATATCACTTTTTTTGTTGTTGTTCCTCACCAATGTTAACCTCAAATAGGAAAGGACACTTGGGAATGCCCCCCTTTTCTAGTCTGCAGGGTTGGAAGATAGTCTGGCAGCTTAGCTAGTTTACCAGACTTAATGTCACCAGATTTTCTCTTACCTCCCAGTTTATTCTTGAGTAGTTTCTTTAGTGCAAATGGGAATATCCTAGGGGAAGAAAGCTCACTGTTTTTTCTTGAGCCAAAGGGAATAGAGGCTTCTGCAGCTACTTGACAGTATTCTGAGAAGTCCAAAATCAAATTGAAATAATTTGGGTCATCTAGAATTTTGTAGTTCAGTACAGTAGCCACTAGTCATGTGTGGCCATTTTAACTCAGGCTAACTAAAATTAAGTAGAATAAATACAATTTTTTTTAGTTCACTAGCCCTATTTCAAGTGTTCAGTAGCCACACATGACTAATAGCTACAGATGGAATAACACAGTTATGTAACATTTCTGTTATTGAAAAAATTCTTTAGGACACCATTGATCTAAGTATCAGTGGCTTACAACCCTCCCTGTGAATCAGAATTAACCTGTGGAGGTTTAGAAAATTCAGTGTTTCAGTTCCACTTCAAGAAATTTTGATTCAGGAGACCTGACATGCATCTGGGTATGTCTTTAACAGAATCTCTGTGCTCCTGTTATGCAACCAAGATTTATTCTTCAAGGTCCTCTGAAGGCCATGAAGGTAAGGAGATGGTCTCTTATTTTCCTGTGTAACCCTATACCTGGCACAAAGTAGATGTCCAGGTCAACTAGGCCAGTAATGCATAAATCTAGCGTAGGAGAACTACCCCGCATGGCCACCCAGAAACTTGAGTTTGTCTAGAGTTTGCTGCTTTCATCCTGTGATGGTGATTCAGGTTCTGGTTTAGAAGAAGGCTGGAAATTTAAAAGTCCCACCTTTTAAAATACACACACACCTGGCACAGTGGCACATGCCTGTAATCCAAGTGACTAAAGAGGCTGAGGCAGGGGGATCACAAGTTCGAAGCCAGTCTCAGCAATTTAGTGAGAACCTTTCTCAAAATTAAAAAGGGCTGAGGATGTGGCTCAGTGATAAAGCACTCCTGGGGTCAATCCCCAGTATCTAAAAATAAAATAAAGCAAAATACACACATCCTCATACTCAAACTCAACTTGGTAGAGACAAGGCTGTGTTTGGGGACGCTTTTGAGACTCTGAGGGGTAGAGTGTCTGGGGAAGAGAGACTCTCACCAAGTTTCCCACTTACTTCAACAGGATGGCTTAAAGGACGATTGGGTCTTGAGTTCGAGCCTTGTGTGATCTCTCATTTTCCTTTCTCATTTCAGCAAACACTTGTTGATGTGTGCTGTGAGTCATTCCTGTGTTAGACACTGTAGGGAGTGACAGAGGTGAATTAGATAATTTTTTGCCCTCATGCTGGTCACTCTCTAATCCTGGGAGATACAAGCATATAATATTAGTATAAATCAATCTAAAAGCATGTTGTGAACACGTTATCAACACAGCACTCTGGGCACAATGAGAGAGGAGGTGTGGGTAGAGGGGTGTGTGCCTGTAGGAAGGGGCTGCCACTGGAAATTTTTTATTCCTTGCTAGATCTTACCATCTCCATGGAGTGGATATTTGAAAATGGGAACCACTATGTCAGATTTGTCTAAGAATTTTTCAGTTCCAACTACAAAGTTTTAGGAAACAGGATGAAGGGAGGGATCGAAGACCCAGAATTAGCCAGGAGCCAAGGATTGGACATGGCACTGTTGAAGATGGGGAGTAGAGCCTCCTGTCAGAACAGCTCTCTTGTTCTGTAAACTTCTGGGATGGGAAACTGCAGCAAATTGTGCCAAGGATTGTTCAGGTGCTCTATCAAAAAATGACTGAAGCCTGAGCCGGGCATGGTGGAACATGCCTG